GTTTTTCACACCTGGATTTAGGGATCCTCTGCCATTCCTCCTTGCAGAGCCTCTCCAGTTCTGGCAGGTTGGATGGATTTCTCCAGCTGGTGATGAGGTTATTTTTCTCCTTCCCACCCAACACCTCAAATATTTATCTCCCTTGCCTCCTCTCTCTGATTAAAACCTGAAAACACGAGCGACATGTGAGTTGCTTTCCAAACAAGCATTCCAGAGAGACAAATTTGAAGAATAAGAGCAACAGTAAGTAATATACAGGCTTTGTTTAGTCTCGTTCTCTCGCGTCGTCGGCTGATGAAGCCGACTGTCTCGTTAAATGTTACATCAGTGAGCAAAGCCGTGCACCAATTTTGGTTTCTCCTCTGACAGCATGAATGCACGCACATAAGCGCAAATTATGCTCAGACGTTAGACGAAAGGTCAAATATGAGAACACTTGCTCTCCTCTCTCTCTATTTGTTTTCGAGCCCAGTCAGCAGATAGAAAACACTAGACGTGGCTCCTCAGACATTTGGCTGCCGGGTCGAAAGGTCTGGAGGGAGAAGAGAATATCACACAGGTCTTGATTAAATGTGAACAACATTTGGAAAGAGGCACCAAAGGTCATCGCTCATCCATCTCTGAAATGAGAGGATATTTTACAATCCAGTGCCTGGTGAAAAGCCAGATAAACCAGTGAACCCAAAACGTTCCTCCGCTGGTGCTTCAAACCTTCTTTGCAATATGTTGATGCTAGTGCACTTTAATCTGGATCTTAATGCTCTTTCTGCAGAGGATGCAGAAAATGCCAATCGTGCTTTGCTGAAAGGTCAAATACTATGGTAAGATCACATTAAGAATGAAAGGGTCAGAGCCTTAGTGTAGCGGTTTGTGCGTGTTCAACACTGAGGCTCAAATAAGGTCAACATGGCCTAATAAGGGGTTTACATTTGGAGGTAATTTATGTTAGTAAGCACAATAATTAGCCACATCAAAGGAAGTGTCTCTCACAGGTCCTGTAGTTGAGCTTTAGGAAAGGGCGACTATGAGGTGTCCAACTACAGTAAAACCAGCAGTGGAAGCAGTACCTCCGCCCGCAAGGCAGGACCATCGGCGCTAGTGGCATCAACGGAACTACAGGCCTACCCGCAGTGGGGCAGCGCGGAAAAACGCAGGGACCCGGCCCGAGCGTCGCGTAGCCGGTCCGAGGCTGGGTCTGGTGTGTGTAACACTGACCTGCGTTCGAGCAGAGGGTGCGTGGGTAGTCCGTTGGTTCGTCCTCCCGATCCGCCCACTGCTGCTCACTGGCGAGAGAGGAGGGTGAGTGTGATGCG